GCACAATCCCTCTGTTGTTGTTTGTTGGTTTGTTGCATTCGGTGAACATGGATTGAATAAAAAAGAAGAAAAAACGTAACCCTATAAATGCAACCGCCGTCCAAGACACTGCCTGGTTTTAAATTCAGAGGTAAGATTGTCTGAGTATAAAAAAAAAAAAAACAGGAAGCCAGAAGCTTTTGTTTGCAACTGTGCAGAAATCTGCAGCAGCTGCTGTTTATTATTGCGCCAGAATTCGGGTTATGCGAAACCTTCTGCAGATTTAAGCCTTTATTGTTCCTTAAATGTTTGTTTTAATGTTCTAGTTTCACAACCTTTTGCCTGCAGCCTTTTGTCCAAATAAGCGCGCAGCCTGTTTCCTGCTGCAGACTCGATTCTTTTTGTTTATTTGTTTGTTTTTTGCAGGGATAACAGCTTAAAATAGGGATAACTGCTAAAATATGATCAGTGTAAACGGAGATTTCGAACTAAATTGTTCCTTCCAACGAACAAACCCTCACATTTGCAAAATGCAATTAGGTGGGTGGAAATAGCAGAGCATTCTGTTCAGTTCAAAGTATGCATCTGTGAATGTTTGTGTTAAGTTGTGGTGTGTTGAAGGTAATAAGTGCCTCAGTTTGATTAATAGATAATTTGATGCAATAATACAGTTATGCATAAATTAATTAAATGCATGTGACGTAGCTTTTAAAAGTTATTTATAGGTTTATGGGGGGGGAAAAAACATGCAATGTGAGATTGCATGTTATTTTTATTTTAAATAAAAGTAAGACATTTATCATTATAACAGTATTTACCTTTTTTTCTTAGCCTTATAGTGCCTGGTGAAATAAACAGGCATTGGAAGAGTAATTTAAAGTTATTATTTATACATTTAATGAATATATTTTTATTTAATCAACACTGAGAGACTTTTATAATGTACAAAAAGGGAAGATAATATGGATTTGCCTGTGAATAGAGTTCTAATGATTGCGTTCGGTGCAAATGGATCTTATTTTACTGGGATGTCTTCCATCAGGTGTGTGAGCCCTGGGTGCAGGCTGGCCTCTGCTTTGGAGGGGATGAAGAACCCAGGAGCTGCAGAGAGCCGCAGGCTGCTTGGCCTGCTGGAGGCTGCTCTGCTCAGAGAGGCTCGTCTTTGGAAGGTGCCGATCTTCAAAAATGGCTGTATTCAGGTGAGTGTTAAATATAGGCTCTGTGTATGCACCCTGATGCTCTATCTTTCCAGTTCTTTTCCCTGAAAAGAGCTCACTCGGGACAAACTCTTTAAATAACACTTCATAACTTGTATGTATTAAATAACCAGGAGACATGATAACAGATTTTGATAGAAATACTCAGATTAGAGAAATTGCTTAGGGTTACAGAATGGCAGCTGCTGACCTCTGGGCTCACCAAGTGGCCCTGATTAATAGTTAAAAGGGCATTTTATTCATCTCCAGTCTGCCATATCATCATATTTTACATACAGTTTATTTAAGACATCCATGGTTCCAGCCTTATCAAAATAGGACAACGCTCTCATTCCATTTCCAAATCTTTGCAAAATGAAGATTAAAACTGTATATCCAGACAAAGGAACTGTTCTAATTAGATTAAAATGACAGTTCTGACGCACACCAGGCAGCCCATACCAGGGTGTGATAAACTCACACATCTTCAATGATAGTTATCCTAACATGAGCTAGTCTTACCTTGATGTAAATCAGTGGTTCTCAAACTTTTTCTGTCATTCCCCACTTTGGACAAGGGGGAATTTTCAAGCCCCGCCTGTCCCCATCGCCCCAACACAATGCTAATGAAATATTCAACAATCTTAAAATGTTCCAATTTTATTGAAGTAACAAGTAGTATCTAAATACAAATCTACATCAAATAACAGCAAGCTCAAAAATAAAGAAAATAAAAATGCAGCTGTGTCAAAATTTGTATCAAGCTCAAAGATAAAAAAAATTAAAGTGCCACTCTGCAATCTGTTAATAAAAGAAAAGAAGTGAAATCCATCTGGCAAGACAGGTCTATTTATCCCTGCATTAGTGGCTGCAATGAGCCTGTTTTGCATTGCAGTTTCTCAAAACGGGGTTGCAGGCTTGATACTGCCACTCTCAAGTCATGCTCAATGTTCTGCTGAGATCTGTATTTTGTTTTCATTGAAGCAGCAGCTGAAGAGCCCATCTCACAGAGATATGATGTGGCAAAGGGAAGAAGAATGCACACAGCTCTCTGCCCGATGAGTGGATACTCGCTCTCCACTCCTAACCAGAAACATGAACATGTGGCTGTGTGAATCAAACGCCGTTATTTATTTAAGATAAAATATTTCAAATTCAGTTATTTATGATCAACCTGCGCCGTCAATCCCGGCGCATGTGCGCTTTATTTGCAGTCTGGACGCAAAAGTTAAACATGCTGTGTCTCTGCTCTGACTGCAGCGCTGATAGGGACTCCTGCAATAGCGGGGGAGAACGGGGTTGGGACGGGGGAGGCGCCCCACGGCAGCACCTGCCGCTGGAGGACAAGAAAAGGAACGATACGTGCTTTCACGCAAGAGTCTCCAAAAGGCGCTAGATTTGTTTTTTTGAAAAAGAGTCGCTGGAGGGGTCTGAAATATAGCGACAAAGTCGCTGAGTTGGCAACACTGGGGCGCGAAAGTTTATTCTGTTACAAATAATATGCCGACGTCACGTCAATCATTATTTTGGCACTTCAGTTCCAGGTGAAATTTTTCTCATATCTAATGTTCTTTTAATTAGACTGCATGTAGGCTAGTAATGATTACTTTGTGGGTTTGATTGGTCTAAAAAGCGGCAACGTACAGCTATAAGGACAGTTTGCTCTCACACATTCTACATTTATAGTCACACACACACACACACACACACACACCGGAACTTGGCGCGCCCCACCTGTCACGTCTCAATTCCCCACCAGTGGGTCGCGCCACACACTTTGAGAACCGCGGATGTAAATCATAAACGTGTCTAATACCCCATGTACACTACCCTTGAAAAACCGTGCCGAGACCAGTCCGAGCTCAGTAACTGAGATAACTTGTCGTATGTAAATGGAACGCAAACTGAACTGAACCGAGCTAGACTCAACTGGACCACGCTAACTGCAGACCAGTTCCAGAGGTGGGCTCGGCTCGGTTTTTCCCCTGGCTCGGTTCTCTGATAACAAGAGCGCATGAGCAGAATGCGTCATCTCCGTCTGGCTGTACATCCCGATTCACACTCCATTCCAGTAGTTGGCGGTAATGCCCCTCCGGAAGTTGCTTGCCAACCAACACAAAACAGAAGAAGAAGAAGAAGAAGAACTATAAACAATAATCGAAATCTTCTTCACGCAACATTTTAAATAATGGCTTCAAATGAGCGTGGTGCAACCTGGGATGATAATAATAATCAAGCATAACTTTCTGAATGTGACGGGCGCCGCCATTTTGATTTGCTTGATTCCCTCCATCTTCTTCTTCTTGTGTTTTATGGTGGTTGGCAAACAACTTTTGGTGCATTACCGCCACCAACTGCTTGATTTCCTCCTTCAATACTGGCAGTAATACTGCAGATCGTCACTAGGAGGCAAGGAGTCGAGGAACCGAGATAGCGTGATGTGTAAATAGTCGTCAGAACCGAGCTTGGCGTGGTTAACTGATCCGAGCTCGGACCGGTCTCGGCATTGATCAATTTTATAAGGGTAGTGTAAATGGGGTCTAAGAGACTTTGAAATTGTTTTCCTGAAATTGAGTTTTCCTTCCTTTTTTCTTTTCTAGCAAATCAAAAGGCAGTGTTGGCTTTTTAATTGCATGAGGGGAAAAAACATAATAAAACAATAAATTACAACTTAGAAAATATCTATTTAAAAAAAAACGTTTAGGTGTTGTGACCTTTCCTCTCAAAGTCTGTTTATCTAGAGCTCTCTTGTTTTTTTTGTATGTGCAGCCCATGCTTTCAGTCTATTATTATTTTTTGTATTACATGTGAAAGCAACATTTTTCAAGAACACATCTTCTGCAGCATGTCGGTTAATGATCAACGCTTGTCCCGCTTTATCCTGCAGGGTGCTGATATCTCCTTGTCCCAACACCAGCAAATGATTGTTTGGATCGGAGAAATGAGCCGGCTGTTTCAGTTCTGCCCCGAAACCTTTGCCTTGGGAGTGTGTGTCCTTAACCGGCTGCTGTCCACGGTCAAGGTAGATGGTTGTAACTTCATAAGCAACGGTCTATATGTTGCTATGAGCTAAAACTAAAATGTGCTTTGCACAGATTTTTGGCTTCTTTATCTTGTCTGTTGTGAGATTATTGAATTGATTTTTTTTTTTCTAAAGGCTCAGAGAAAATATCTCAAATGCATCGCTTTCACCTCCCTGGTACTGGCTGCCAAAATCAATGAAGAAGATGAGGTAACACTATTATAGAGTTATATTGGGAAAACCAAAAAAATAAACACTCTATCCATTTTCAAAACAAAATGTTTATTTGGCTTCTGTTTGCAACAGGTTCTTGGTTCTGTTAAGGACCTGGTGGCGCGGAGTGGATGCAACTTTTCAACAGCAGAGATTCTTCGTATGGAGCGGATCATTCTGAACAAGCTGCACTGGGACTTGTACACGGCGACATCAGTCGACTTTATTCACATCGTAAGTTTAAAGATCGGAAAATAAACAGACAATTCTTTTTCATTATTCTTTTCTTCCTAGAACTCAGCGGAAACAAAAGCAGTACCAAAAAAAAGCAGACGTTGCAAACCATCATGCTTCAAGGCTCTGTGTCTGCCCCACATTAATGGATTGGTCCTTAATTTGTGCATTTATTTCAATAGACTTTCCATGCCAGTGATTGGAATTACGAACTTTTTTTAGTCCACTTAAGTTTAACGTCTCCCATCAGAAAGTCTCTTATGGCTTTAGATTGTCCACCTTCTGATGAATTAGAACTTCAAGCAAAGATCTGTAGCTTTGGATCTCAGTGCCTCTAAATAAAAACATTTCTATAAAAAAAAAAAGGAATATATTTGAATGCTTTTGAAACCTTAAATCTTTAACAACTGAAATCCTCTTTCTTTCAATAGTAAAAAGAGGCATCAGAGTAAATTGTTCCAAATTTCAAGACCAGCAAATATGTGAGCTGCGCATTAGGCCAAGGCACTTCTTATCTGCACCCTTTTTGTGGAAAAAACAAACCCTGTCACCTCCAGATGGAAAATAAAAAAGCTTCAGTTTTCACACCTCAATCAGCCTAAATCATGCTGTTTAAAATGTAGTCTGCTTTTCTTGTCTTTGATGGTTTTAACATGCCTACGTTTTAAGCTGTATGTGAAAAATCATTTCTCAAAGCAGTACCCATTTATTGAATTGCAGAAAGTCAAACACTCGAAGGCCCTGCGGCTCTATCCATATGGCTGTTGGGTTAAACTGAATCATTTCTTAGAAAACAACATTGAGCACAGCTTGTTGTTATGTGCTTAAGCTAAAAGCGAAGCCTTGCAAAAGCTTTCTACCTGTTGGAAATGTATTTTGTCATGGACAATTCAAAAACTTTATTAGTTGATGTTGCTCGATGCAAAGTAGCTCAAATATCCAGTGCAACAGATTGTCTTGAAAGGTTACCTAATGAAGTCGATCTGGATTTAATTAAATCTTCTCTTCAGTCCAGTAATTCTTTGAAAGCCTTTGTTTAGTTGGTGAAAATATTAAAATATTAATATCATGCTGCAGAGAAACAGTAAATGGTGGACATTTCAGTATTTCTGTAACAGTCGGAAGGTTCATCCTTTAGAAGAATGATACCAAAAAAAAAGCCAGAATTAAAACTGTTTGATTTAAAATAAAGTATGTTTGTGTGGTAGAACAGCCTAGGTAAAGTCTAGACCTAAATCTAATAGAGAACCTGCAGTTGCACTGAAAACTTACTGGTCTCTGGTTTTTAAAGAGAAAATGGGCAGAAGTTGCAGGTATGAAAAGCAGGTTGGGACATAAAATACTTTACTTGTTGCTTCAGAGGCATAAGAAAAGTTGGAGATTCTTATTTTAAAACAGTTAAAACTTGTTTTATCACTTTCCAAATTATTATAATTATGTGGTTAAATGAAAAAAAAAAACTTCTAGGGGTATGAATACTTTTTCAAGGCAGTATAAGTCACCAAAAGGAAAATAGAGACAAATGCTAATTGTTTCATGAATGCAGCCGATTTAGTAAAAGTCGCCACATTTTTAGACGCGTTTCAGTCCCAGTTAGTTTATCAGTCCTGTTCTCCACCTCAAGGACAATCTACATTCCCTCAGTACCAGGCCTGGATTTATCTGCAAACATTTCATTTAAAGAAACCATGTAAACTTTCACACACAAAGCAGAATCATCCCCCTGATGTCCCTCTCTGTTTTTTTTACAGATTGAAATATGAGTTTTTGTTGATAATACAAAATCCAGGACTTTTAAAGTAAAGAGCTAATGTAACAAAACTATAATAAAATAAAGACTTTTTTCCCCCCTCTGTTTTACTCTAAATAAATATATTTAATAGGTTACTTTAAATATCTCACATCTATACTGTAAACATCTGCCCTGAAGGAATTCCCTTTTACACACTGAATAATTATTCTCCATATTCTACATAAAAACAGCGATTTGTCACAGACTCTCCATGTTGGTAGGATATTTACACAGATCCATACGTTTGCTATTAGAGTTGGTGTGTGTCCAACTAAAAACAAAGAGGTCCATTCAGCTATGGCGGACTAGGACGGCCACTGTTTGTGGATTATCTATGAATGTGTTTAATTAGTAAAAATGGAGGAATGTTGGTCGGTTTTAGTCGCATTCTGATTGGGCGCCACAGCGCTGAATTTACCTCCCAGTGCAACTCTTATTTCTTTTAAACACATGGCTTTTTTCTGCTAGAGACAAACTAATGGAAAATATAAATGCATTAATGAAGGAAACACAAGAAAGCTAAGAAGATCCAACAATTTCCCCTTTGTAAACCAAAGGGTTTCCAGTTCCACTTGTTTCAAAGCAGTGGTGCTGAAGCTGTTCGTTAGTCGCTGTGCAAACAGATTGTTTTTTTTCTTTTTTACACCTAGATCCCGCTAAGGTTGGGTTTTAAACTGTCTGCACACAATTGAGAACACAGAAGAGCACTGCACAGACAACACAAAACATACAGGATGGCCAAGAGACATAGTGGCAGAGTTATAGTGGATAAAAGTTTCAGGATGCAACTTCAACAAACACTTGACAGTAAAATTCCGGACTGTAAACCGTCAGAAGAGATTAAAGTTTAGGCTGACCATATTAGGAGAATTTGAAAATGATAAACATGACGACTTTGTGAAGGATGAACAGAAAATGCCATTATGCTAACATTTTGGCCGTATTTCTCTCTGCTGCTTCCAGTTCCACGCTCTTCTGGTCTCCAGCCATCCCCACCTCGCTCCATCCTTTGGTCTGGTCTCTTGCACCGACCGTGCCGGCGTAATCCCCGTCAGGCATCAGAAGACGCCCCCCTCTGGCTTCCAGGCAGCATTGTGGACCAGGCAGGTGCAGCACTGTATGGCCTGCCACCAGCTTTGGCAGTTCAAGGGCTCCACGTTGGCCTTGGCCATCATCACTTTGGAGCTGGAGGCGCTCACTCCCGACTGGTTCTCGGTCTTCACCGACCTACTGAAGAAAGCACAGGTGAGAGAGCAGCTTCGACTTTACTGGACAATTAATTCAAAGTGTAAACATTCCTTATTATTATGTTTCTTTAAAAATATGGATTAATTGGAGGAAAACCCAGCACTATTTGTTGGAAATTCAGTTTATCGTTCAGCTTTTATTAAAGTGGAGTGCCTGATCACTCCCAATAAAGATGTGTTCAAACTCTAAACCTGCAGCTGTAAGCTTGCATTTCACATTTTTAACCAGTCAGACTGAGTTTAATGAAATCAGGTCCTAAAACCAAAATGCCAAAGGGCCCAGAGTGTTGGTAACATAGATGAAGAAAAGGTAAAAGCATAAATTATAAACCGACCTGTAGGACTGCAACTAATGATTATTTTGTTAATTGGTTTTGCAGCTTGATTTTGGACACTGTTTTGTTTTTTTGTTGTTTTTTTTATTAATCAATCGATACAAAATTAAACTAAAACTTTGCCATTATAGGAGTTCTACATAGAGAACTTTGACAGGAAAAGTTTTTTCCTTGATGCAAAATGTTAATATATTTTTACTCTATTTAGGTAGGTAGGTTCATCTGTGTGGGTTCCTCTTTCAGTTAATTGCATGTTTTAGGATCTCCATACTCTAGTTAGTGATTAAGTGAATATAAAAATTAGGGCTGCAACTAACGATTATTTTAATAATTGATTAATCTGTTGATTATTTCTTTTGATTAATAAATCAGCTAGACTAAGATTCCTCAAAGAAGAATTTTTATGAAATTAAACCAGGTGAATCTAAAACTTCCAGATGGAGCATATTGACAGACGGAAAAAAAAAATTTGTTTCAGCCCTAATTAAATTAGTTTATTATTCAATCATTTAATCCAGTTTTGATTCAACCTGACTGACATTGTTATATTTACCAATTTGAAAGACAAAGCAGGATTTTCTAACATCAACGCAGGCTCTATTGCCTTTATAAGGAACCAGATACGTTAATTCTGATAAGTAAGAATATAGCATGAGCGATTCATCATTGTTTTTGTTTGTTTTAAATCAGTTAGTTGAATTTTTTTGTTAGTGATTTAATTTTTCTATCAATTACAGACAAACGTTCATCCCTTTTTGTTCATAAATACCAACTCATCACTGTTAAACTAGCTCACTGTGTGATACCGCCAGCATATAATATTTAATTTGTAATACATTTGCTCTTTGCTGTTAAACATGATTTTCCTACAAACACGTACAGCTTCATTTTGACTCCCTCTAAGTTAACATTCTCAGAGGAGATCATTAAAGGCAAAGCTAGTTTTTGAAAGCAAGATGTTATTTATCTTTTTTATTGTAAAACTTAAGTGGGGAAAAAATCTGTCAGATTTTTAGCCTTAGATGAAATCTTTTTTCTTTTCTGTTAAAAAAGGAAAAACGACTGGTTAAAACAACCTCCTTGTCTCTAAGCTTAAGCCTCAAACACTCTGAGATCCTGTTGAACTCATCGCTCGTGTTTCTCCTCTCAGGTCGATAGCGGCGAGTTCATCCACTGTAAAGAGATTGTTGACGAGTTCCTACACAGCATGGAGTTCTCCCTGCCTGCCAACGCCGTGTTCATCCTGGACGGCTCCCAGATCCAGGAGCAGCAGCAACAGGAGCTCTGGAGCACCTCGCAGCAACACCTGACTGCCAGCAGGGGGCGTAGCAGCAGCGACCAAGCAGACATGGAGGACTACTATGGTTTTAGGCGTTTGTATAATGAGGATCTAGAGGGTTTGTTTGAATGTCAGCAGAAAGGAGTCTCGCCGTGTCCTCCACTTCACCCTGCTCACACCTGATCGGATTAAACCCTGAGGATCCTCGTCTAAAATCTAGTTTTTACTTCCTTATTTTCTTTTTAGTCACATTGAATGTGACTTTTGAGTAAAGTAATAATATTTTCTTCTGCTGTGAGATTGGGGGAGCTAACAGGAAAATGTCTGAATTCAATTTTAATAACTGTTTCTCTACAGTGAAGTTTGCTTTAAATCATCAGCTCAACGGTTTTATGTTAGATATTAACTGTTATTTTTTTTATTAATCCTGAATTATTTTTTTTATTGTGAGAAATCTTGGTGCTCAGGTTCATTTCCAGAGCCACAAAGCACTTTAAGATAAAGTTAAGCTTTTCTTTTTTCAGCCTTAGTCTTTTTGTTTTTTGTTTTTACTTGTAACATTCATTTTGTTCTCAACTTAGTTCGAAAAGCAAAATTTTACATGCAAGCTTTACTTTGTTTTACTAAATTATGCAATTTCTTTTAAGTATTATGTGCTTCATCATGTATCATTTTCTTTGTGCAACTATTGTTTCTTATATATGAGCACCTTCTGGGAGATAAGTTCAACACTAGAAAAGAACAAAAAGAGATTCATTTATAAGTATTTGACATTTTATTTTCAGTATTCTGAGTACAGAAGTAACGTAAGATTGAAGTTTGGGATCAAGGTGTCATGTTTTGATTTAATCTAGCAGAGATTCGCCTGTGCCATGAGTTTTATTTAAAGTTTCGATTAAAATGCAGCCATTTATGTAACATTTGATGCTGTTGAGCGTCTCCACTGCCGAAGCTCTGCAGCTCAAAGACACTGAATATTCTGGGCAATAAGATCTGCAATGTGAACTTTGTGTGTTTTCTAAAGGTTGAGATGTTATTTCATATTTTCCTTCATGTGCTAAGGCAGCTATTTCATATAATTTTTCTCACCACATAAATAAACTAAAACCTTAAAAGGTTTGTGGAGTCAAACATATTTTTTTTATTTTACAAACGATAGAATTAGCCTAAAGCAACTTTTTAGCGTTAGAAAATTAACCTGTAGAAAAAAAAATAGTTTAACTTAATTGATCTCACACTGGAGAAATTCACCTCTGCATTTGACCCATCCCTTTGGGGAGCAGTGGACTGCCATTGTGCGGCGCCTGGGGAGCAGTGTGGGGTTAAGGGTCTTTGCTCAGTGAGCCAAAGTGACAGTCTGTGGGAGTGGGACTTAAACTCAGAACCTCTGGATTCCAAGCTCTATGCTCTATACACTAGGCAGCCACTCCCCTAACTAAAATTAACTCTAACTGGTGTTTAAGAATTGTATTAGTTTATTCAAAATAACCATATCATAGTACAGAATTGGAGCAGTTATGGATTATCTGGGATTAATATAATAGGAATAATTAACATTTAATTTCATAATAGACTGCTATTCTGATCTCAGAGGACAGAGATAACAATGATGCAGCAGATTTTAAATCTTAGTTGGCATATAAACAAGCATTAGCAGTGCAGCACAGCTAGTTGCTTCAGGAATAAAAAAAAAGGAGCATCCATGACCCGCAGTTGCTTTTACCAGTATGGCGCCGTTTACTATGATGCCCTTTTGTTTTTACCACAGAACATATCAGTCTAAAATCCTTCTAATGCTCAACTTGTGTCTACTTTAATGCAAGTAAGCTGAAATAATCCTTTGCTCAAATGTTTAAGAAATTGTTTAATTGCATTTATGTGTCAAATGAGCATTTTATGTAACTCTTTGAACCAGATATTCAAAAGAAAACAAGGCAAATGAAAATGAAGTTTAAAATCCTTTTATTGTAGTGTTGGTAGAAACCCACAGTGCAATAAAATATGTTGCTATAGCAATTCATTAAGGTGATATAAAAGTAAAGGGAAACTTCTTAAGATTAAAACTGATCAATTGTTTGTGTGTTTGCAATGTTTAAGTATATAAATATAGCTTAGGAGGTTTCAGTGGAAGTACTGGAACTAAAGCCAGCAAGGCGTCTATTCCATCGACTAAAGGTTGCTGCAGAATAAAATCGAATCAGCTCCCAGAGCGTTCAAACATTTCCACTGAATATCTTTATGTTTAGACAGTTTTATCTGGGGTTTTTTTGTTTTTGTTTAGCTTATCAAGCTAAGCACAATCTCAATGTGAAAAAGGAAAAGCTTAAATACTCTCAGTTTCATCCATTCTAACTTTTAGATTTTTAATAACGTAGTGGAAATGAGCAGCTGCTGTAGATCGTCACTGATTATCACTCAGCTTTGTTAGCACAGTGTCCTGGTGCTTTAAAGGACACGACGTAGAACTGTGAACATATTGTGCTCCTGGAGGAGATCCAGTGAGGCCCGCAGGTGGTGCTCAGAATAATAATAGACCTTCACAGTAAACAGAGAATCTGCATTAGTCCTGTGACGCTTCCTCTGGCTGTTTCTACAGATTTACTAAAGCTTTGGATGGAGAAACAGAATGGATCAAAGATACGAGAAAAAGCTTCCTAAAAATAAAACAGATCTACAAAACTAACTAGGGCTGCAGCCAATGATTATTTTGCTAATCGATTAATTTTTTCCTTAAAGAGTTTTTTTTTTTAAACAGAATTAAACAAAGGTGAAACTGAAACTTTTCCACTTAAGCTCTGGATATGCATATTGAAAGATTACCTTTTTTATTTATTTATCTTAAATGCAAAATATTTATATATTTCTCTTACAATTTTGGTATAATTACTGCCCTAAGTGGGTTACTCTGTTAACTAAAGGCATGTTTAGAGTCTTTATACTACAGTTAATGACTAATCAATTACTAAATTAGTTCTAAATCATTTCAATAATCGATTAATCAGATGGTTTCAGCATTAAAACTAACAACTTCAAAATATCTTGTTCCATTTTTTTTTTTTATAAAAAATAAACAGAAAAGGAAAAAGGCCACAGTCTACTACTAATTTCTGAAAATTAAAATCTGTTCCAAACAAATACAAAATACTTTAGGTTTTGTCGGATATTAATCACCTCCTTTAGGATCCAGAAAATTAAGGGAACATGGAAACAAATGGAATAGACAAAAGGTGGAATCAATAAAGGAGGATCTACAGTGGGGACCACAGACCACTTCTCAGTATCTATGGTTTCTGGCCGATGTTTTGGTACCTGTTGAATGTTGGTGGTGCTTTCACATTAGTGGTTGTATGAGACTGACTCTTGCTGAGGCAAGAAGGTTTGCTGTGTCCGTCAGCCAAGAGTCCTGAGGCTGGTGGTGCAAGAGACGTGGAGGAGGCTGTAGGAGGGCAACGAACCAGCAGCAGGACCGCTATCTTTACAGTTATGCAAAGAGGAACAGGAGGGGCACTGCAAGAGCCCTGCACACAATACTGAGCCTCCTTTCTACCTGTTAAGGACATTACATCAAAGTTGGATCAGCCTTTAGTGGGTTTTCCACTTTGTGTCTGACTCCAAATCCAGGTTTCAATGTAACAAAACAAAGTATTCAAGGATAATATTTCATTCATTCAGATGTTATTTTAGCGTTCCCTTTATTTTTTGGAGAAGTGTATAACAGCATCATTCCTTACATTAGAACGGTTAATGGTTTGCAAGAAACCACTTTACATCGTTCCAAAAATGTGACTATAACAGTTCATACTTTGGGATTTTTTTTTTATATTATATGACTCCCAATGCATTTAAATAGCGCTTATTTAACAGACCAACTTAGAGTAGTTCCTAATTTTAAAGTGTAAGGAAAATATGTCATTTAATTTTTTTTGTTTAAAGAAAAATCATGCATTTATATTTAGAGCTCTTCACTGCAATGTCCTAAAATAAAGCCAGTGCAAACAATCGCATGTAGAACTCACCAAGAGCCAATTTAAGGAAACATCATCAGCAGACAGCTCAGGGATAAAGCTGAGAAGTTTAAAGCAGAAAAGACTACAAAAAAAATCTAAAAGAAATTTCTGATCCACTTTAAAAGGATATAACAGACAATGAAACTAAGATATTACAAGCTAAACACTAACCAAGGAGAGCATTTATTTAAGACTGTCTGTAGGAGCTGCAGACATCCTCAGGTCATTGAAGAAAACAATCTGCAGCATTATTGCTCTCCAGACATTTGGAAAACCACCACTGCACATTAGCCTGAAGCCATCAACCTCAGTGTAACAAATGGTGGTTTCCAATATCATGCTTTGGGGAATGTGTCGCTCTCCCAGTAAGAACAGGGAAACTGGTTAGGGCTGATGGGAATATAGATGAAGGGGAGCAAAGGTTCACCTTCCAATAGTAAATGCAGCCACAACTATACTGGACTGGTTCATTTAACTCATATCCTTGTGTTAGAATGTTCAAGTTAGTCTAAGAAGGTACAATAAAGAGCTTATTGCAAAATAAAGTTAAGGATCAGAACAAAAACTAATGAAATTTAAAAAATACATTGAATGATTTGTTGTAACTTGATCAAATGTGTATAAATAGTTTTGCAAAGCAGCGTACTTCTCTTTTCAATAATGCTCCCCACCTTTAGCAAACAAATCAACTACAGCGGTTAGCAGCGCGACGTTGAGCGCTAAAGGAGCCACATGCTGAGCAAACATCATGCAGCCCTTGTAAAAACACTGCATCTCAAACTGACAGCTGTTTTGGTTCCGGACCAGATTTGCATCGCGTCTGAGCGCGCCTTTTTACCTTCCATGATTCACCATCATCCTCATCTCCCAGGAGGAAACGCAGACAAACAAATCAGAGCAAAGAGAGGCTTTATATTTAGGAGGGATGGTTTGCATTTATTTGCATCAACAGACAGTAAATACAGCTGTTCTCTTCTCCATGTCTGAGTGGTCCTACAGTAAGCTGAGGCTTGTATGTTTACTGGCTTAATAGTCGCGATTCTGCTGCCGTTACACAACAACACCATCATTGCAGGGTTTACAGTCTCACAAATAATATACACCCTCTTACAGGCTTCCTACCTCATACTATATCATAATTAAAAACTAGTACATTTTGCATATTAATATAAGCTTGTAAAGCTTTAGAAAATATTCACAGACTTTAACTGAGTTACAGCACTAGAATATTGCATAGATTTTTAAGACATAGGACTAAACGTTAGGTCGTCAGTACCTCTAAATGCAGGTACTCTGTTATTGCTCACACGCTGAGATTTCAATCTATTAGTTATCTAATGAGGGACTCATTATGCCAAACTATGGTTACAAAAAAATTCATAAGATAGATCAACTGAATATTTGAAACACAACACATTTTTTAATGAAAATAACTTTTTATCTTGGATTTGAACTGGGCACATCATATATTTTCATTAAATACGTATTTTACCCATATTAGTTCAATTGAAGTACCAAGCAATGACATTCCCTGACAGGGTTTTAATCAAAGTTTTTAGATGGCTAATGAGGAAATAAAAAAAAAAATACACAAATATTGAAATCAACAAGAAATTTGAATAAAACACAGATATATTTATCGAAAAAAAAAAAAAATGACAAAGAAAGATCCTGAATTCATGAGATGGCCACTGATGGAAAGTGAGTATTTCTCCTGAATATCTCACCATCTTTCACCCTCTCCTGTGGCTTCATCATCATCATTATCCTCAGTGTCTTTGGTCCATGTGCACAATGTCAAGATGGAATGTCAAAACAAGACAAAGAAACAAAGAAAAACATAAGACAGATGTGGTCGTTGCTATGGATGATGGAGGACAAATCCATGGTCGTGTGTGGATGGGTGTGCTGCGCCCCAAAAATTAACTGAAAAACAATGAAATAAAGAAAAATAAAGTAAATCAATGACTGACAACATGCAGACAGAGGAAAATGAAAGTTTCAGCAATGATTAAGTGACAAATAAAAAGAAACTCTAACTATAAAACCTGTTTGTTTATTGACGTGTTGCAAAATGCTACATTTGTTCAAGATTTAAAATAAGAAAATAAAACTCACTTTATTAGTCAACCAAAGCAGGAAGTACTTGAACATTTTCACAAAATGGAAGACCATTTGGTGTGATGTTTACACTAACAGTGTGAGTGAGCAGCCACAAGAGGGCGCCACATGTCAGCTTTTCAACTTCCTTAGTTTGGGCCAATCAGAAACAGGCTCTCAGGTTGCTTTCAGTTTAAAGCTGCTCATTTTTCAAATTACAAAAAATATTTTTTTTTCGGGTACGAATCTTTTGGCACATTTATCTAACTAGGAACTAGGAACTTCAAAAATGAAAGAAGGTAATAACTGCCTTCTTATAATATGGATAATGAATTCTACAGAAAACTTTTCATAAACTTTAATAATTTACTCTTCTGAGTATGTGTATGAACACCTTTAAGTGAACTCTTTCCTAATATGTATTATTTTAGAACCTAGTCCTGATTATAGTTATTTGATGAACTTAAACTGAGAAACTCTCTCATTAAAGCGGATGTGAAGAAAATGCTGCCTTAGCTACTTTTGAGTCAAATCCATGGTAGCAGGAGCACTTTAAGCCACTGAGTAGACAGTACTGTCTATGCAGCAAGTAGACTCTATCCCTCCTTTGAACTTAATAACAAACCAAAAGCTAATGCTCCATCAATCACAAAACAAAGATTATGCCAAGTTTCTCCTGAGTCCTGCTTGTCTTATTAGTAATTCCTCCAGGCACTAAAAAGGCAAATAAGGTACTTTGAGGTTTCTTGCAATATTTTATCATAAGTGAGGATTTTGCCTATACATTTAAAGGTTTAAATCAAAGAGGATCATGTAGCAGTTTATTAACCAGCAACTTAAAATGTAGTGAAAAAAAATGGAAAAATACAGTTTAATAATGAGGAAATCAGGTTTAAAAAGTTGCAAATTATTCAAAACAGCGAACATATATTATGCTTCACATATCTGATAAATAAACTAAAGCTATAACTAGGTCTTGATCAGTGTGAAGTAGCAAAAACCTGCTAGTGCGTAAGTGGGGACTTTTTTTTAACTCCAGCATTTTGTGCAAAACGACAAACACAATCAGGAAATTAATAAGCCCCTGATTAAACATGCTTGTTTACAAACAAAATAATCTGTAGATTCCTTAAAGTCACGTATGGTTTTAGGCTTCCAAGAGCAACAACATTTTATCGTTGGTTAATTTCAAAACAAACAGAATTCTCCCAGGGGTTTTATTTTAATGACGCATGCAGCTTCCTGCTACAGAAGAAAAAATTCACTCTGGATTTAAGAGAAGTTATTAAATCATTATAAAAGATTTTTGTGTTCTATAACTAATGTTTTCAAACTAAAATCCACTGATGTTTTAAAGTTTGTTGCACTTCAACTGCAGTGGAAACAATACAGGTACATCTGTAATTTCAGCAGGTTTTGTCTGAACGATGCATCACTTTTTGCTGCCTGAGGGATTGAGCTGAGGGCCTCCACCCAAAGTATCCTGAATAATTAGAGCCAAACTAAAGGAATGAGTGAAAGCACAGGAAATGTTAAACTTGGGCAGGACAAAAAAGGGGGGGTGGAAGTTCCCTTCACACTTTCCAGGTCCTTAAAATCCAGATGAAGTGTTTGCGATTTGGAGATAATTTCATACCAGCTGGGCACACTCCTTTCAAAGGACTCATTAATCAGAGAATTTGCTGCTGGACATGGCAAACAGCAAAACTAGAGCATCTATTGATGGATAGTGTTTCAACCATGAAGCACACAATGGGAGGAAGGAGGGAGCTTCAAGAAATTAGAATGCTTAGAAAATAAAGTGTCCTGATAATAGAAGAATACAGGAAATGAGTCATTAAGAGGAGAAACTGTCTTACTTCTTCTTGTCCTTGTCTTTCTTGAGGGGCTGACTTAGAGAGAGGGTCTCAACCGCCAACTTCTTCCTGTTGAAGGCGTTCATCTCATCCTCAAGCTCTTTCCGCTTCTCCTCTACCTTCCTCTTTTCATCCTGGTGCATCCGTTTCAGCTGCTCAAACTTTTCATGAAGCTGAGGAACGGAAACAAATAGAATTAAATGGGACAACCGGAGAATTTAAAGAAATGCATGCTGGGAA